TGCTTTATACCTGCTGAAGGGTGAGCTGGTGGAACCAGCCTTCCAGACCACCTGATTTTGCTGATTTTCCTCTCGACTGCTAAGATGTGATTTCCTTTTCATGTGCATTGCAATTGTGTTCCATAAACAGAACAAACCTGCCGAAATATGTCTGGAGGGATGCCCAGAGAGTAAGCAGCACCCACTCCGGGAGAACAAGACCCTCCAGGGTGCATCTCCCTGCTCACAGGACACCTATGAAGGTGCTCCATCCTGGGCAGAGCTGAGCAACTTTTCTGTACAGAAAAGCCTGGAGAGAAGGGGAGGTCAGCCCACCATCTGCCCACCCCAGTATCTCTCAGACAACTCATACTGGTGTTATCCCCCATCCTAACATCTGCCACTAGCCCCATTTTTGGGTCCTCTCTCCCCAGAATCCTTGAGCACTTTGCACACTCTCAGCATTACCTGGTATGAGCCAGCCCTCAACCTCCCAGCCAGGATTTTTCCTATCTGTTATTTCCATGCCCACAACCTTTGTGAATCCCTCACTCCCATTAATTCCTAAGTGGTTGGCGTGAGACCAGAACCCAGAAAAGGCATTTTCCATGCACCTGGATGGGCTGGTGATGAGATAATGATTTACTGGGGGCCTGACAGTGCCACAAAGCATGGGCAAAACGAATTCCCTTCATTTGGCCCCATACAATTGCACTCCTAAGTGCTTATTGCGGTGACAGACAACACTGGGAAAGTGTAATTTTCTTCTGACGTGGAAAAAAAACGATAGGGAAGGAGGAAGGTTAAAAGAAGGTTAGCATAGAGGTGCTCAGAATGGGAGCCCTGGGGAGGGGGGCCAGGAGGATGCCTGGACCCCGAGCTGTGGTGATGCTGGGCCAGCCAAAAGTGCCAGTGAGGCAAAATGACCCTCTCCTGAGGAGCCAGGAGGGTGGCAGCCTGACTCTGCCCCGTCCACCACCTCATGAGCTGGGCTAATTAATGACCCTGATTTACATCGGGGGAGGTGGAAGGTGCTGCTGGCTGGATGGCTTTCCTGGCAACTGAACATCATGGAGATAATGCAGGGCAACAGAGCAGGTTAGTTGAGCGTGACAGGGAATATGCAAAAAAGCCAAACCATGCACGCTCAGCATATTTAATTTGGGATCTATGCTTGCTTCTGCATTGCCAAGCTTTTTCTCTCTAAGGGTAAAAAAGATGCTCAGATGCTTGAACCCCTGGGGAGGAGACATGCATTCCCTTTGCAAAATGATGCTGAGGGCTCCCAGGGAGCGCATGCCTGCAGAACACCCCAAATCCCACTGAGCTGACAGCAATCCCTGGGTGCCAGCTGTTTCCCCGTGCCTTTTCCCCATCACTGACTGGTTGTTCCCCCCAGCATGCATGCATCCATCCCCACAGCCGGGGGAGGAAAGGCATCTGGCTGGAAGTTTCCTGGGGTTCCACCTGGAGAAGCAATCAAATGGCTTTTACGGCTGCTCCTCTCCTGCCTGGAATATTAAAGCAGGATTTGCCCACTGGAGCCTGCAAAAGGGCAGGATGAAAACGCAGGTCCACATCTGTACTTTTATGAGCTGTCACCAGCATAGACCATTTCTAAAAAAAACACATTTGTGCTGCTAAACTCTGTGAGAACTGTGAGAAGACGAAGCCTGGATAACCCGAAGGATTAATTTACTGAGCTGCAGCACAGCGTGGGCGCTTGGCACGTGAATCGCAGGCACACAAAAATACCCACGGCCCAGCTCTCCATTTGTCTGCATCCCCTTAGCACAAGCAGTTTGGATGTCTCCTTTTTGTTCCACCAAGGGCCATCCCATCCACCCTCTCCTACTGGCTGGCAGGCCGGCAGAGCCGGAGATAAAAGCGAGGAGCCGGTGAGCAGTTCTGCTCTCGTGGGCAATTCTGCAGGAAAGGGCAATGTCATCCAATTTGTTCAGGAAACAATAGCAATGTTTGACATGTCATCAGGATTGATGGAGCAGAAATTTACATGGGAGAATTCAGTTTTAAACAGCTCCACGGAGCTTCGCCCGGTAATGGTTTCGACATTCATCATCCGCCGAGTCCTACTCAACGACTCCTTAAACTGCTGGAGATTAACTCTACTCACAGCAGCTTCAGGGAGCGCAGCAGAAGGACCGGGGAAGGGCTTAAAGAACCAAAAAGAGCCTTTCAAAGGTGCTTCACATCCCCACGGAGCCCTTGGGATGGCTGCAAAACTGTCAGACAGGAATGAGCAGCTGGAAGTCGGTTGCAGGGGTGAGCAAAGCAGTTGGAATGATGACTTGAGCTGCCATGTCCTGCCTGGGCTCTGCTGTCACCAAGGGAGTCAAACCCTTCCCACCTTTCCCTGGGAGCCGGGCTGCCAGAGCAGGTCCCAGCTCTGTTTGTTCTGCTTCACCCTCTTTGTTTTCCCTCCCCTCACTCACATGAACAAACCAGGAAATAAAAATTGATGGGGAGCAAATTGCTTTGGCCAGGAGCTCTCTGCTTAAAAGAGTCGTCGCAGGAAAGCAATTACAGGACGTCAAAAAGCTGTCAGGGTACTGGAGTGACCAGGCGTGAGCCTCGTCCCTGCCTGCTCCCCTGGCTTTGAGACCAAGGCACCACTGCTCCAGCAAGATGCCTGGAGCCTGGGAAAGCAAATAGAAGGAGAATTCCCATCTGCTTCCTGCTTTTTTTTTTTCCCAGACAGACCATGGTACAAGAATCTCAGGGTAGGAGCCATGGCCTGGCATCATACCAATTTTTGGAGCCACCTAAACATGCGTGTGTTAACGAGGCAATTATCCAAACATCCCTTCCCAAATGCAGCCTTCAGGTCCTAGGGAAAAACCAGTGAACTGCTGGTATCCACCCAAATTGGGATTTGATTTGTGATTGGGGGAGAGAAATGTGAAGGGCCAAGAGCTTCCATGAGACACAATTGCTGGGCTGCAAAACCAGAACAGAAAACCAATGGAAAACCTACTTAAAGTTGTTATTATGGAATGACTTTAGTCGGAAAACAGCTCTTTTGTCAGCATTGCCTGCCCCGGCCATGCTCTTCCCAGGCTTTTAAAGAGAGGCTGCCCAGTGGGGGGTGGCAATCAGGCACAAGCAGAGCCGGTGGCTGGCCAGCACCACTGCCCTGGAGCCCAGCGGTGTGATTAGCTGGGAGAGAGGGAAGCGGGAGTGGAGGACTGCGGTGGTGCTGGGGTACTGCTGCCACCACCGCCTTTCCCAGCAACTCCAGACCACGCGCCAAGCCGGGAGCTCAATCGGCACTAACGACCCCAGAGTGCTGCGCTGAACCTGGCTGAGTGGGGGAAAAAGAGTCAATCAACCCCCCTGGGAATGGCAGAGCTTTCCTCATCTCTTCTGCCAGGCACTGGGGAAAACAACAGCCTCCTTGATTGTGTTTTATAACAGTATTCCCTGCAACATCAGCTCCGCACAGGCGAGGTTAACACTTGCCTGGGCAGTTGTGATTTAGCAGGGAGTGATTTACTGTTGGAATGGCTGGAGACAGAGGCTTAAAACACAAGGTGACAGAAGATGGCTCAAAAGTGAGACACAAGTTTCTCCAGGGTGGATTTTCACTGATGACACCAAGACCACTTCAATGCCAGCCTCGGTGGGTTTTACTGGAGCTCCGCACTGGAGCTGGGCACAAGTCCTCCCCAATGAACTGTATTGATTTCATATTCTCCTGTTGTCCACCTAAATGGCAAGCGGCACATCTGAGAGATTAAATAACCACACAATTGCCTGGCTTGACATCTCAATCACTTTGCTGTTGGGTCTCTAATGAATTCTACAGCCCAGCAAAATGGAAAAATTTAAGGTAAAAGTCCAGTGGAGGAAATTTCCATGATCTCTAAAGTTTTCACAAGAGCTCTGGCACGCCAGTCATGCTGCCCACGATCTGCAACCCCATCTCATCCAGGTGAGGAGCATCGTCTGGGGCTCAGCAGGGAGAGGGGGGCTAAAAGCAAAGGAGGAGGGAAAAGTCGAGCACGCACTTGCCTTGAGATGGGCACAAATATGTTGAATCCCAACCTGGAGAAAGGGAATGGCAAAACACAGCTGTTGTCCAACAAGAATGAAGATAATCCTCCCTGAAGCCTGATGCAGCCTTTGGTTTCTCTGAGTGTGAAGCAAACCCAGCTGGAGAGTGAAATTTTTGCTCAGACCAAGGAAAACTGTGGTCCAGAAGCCATAGGCTGAGCTGTAAAAACATCTAATCTCTTCCCAGGAGCTGGAAACTACACCTAAGTCTCAGTCAATCAGCAAGTAACCACATCTCAAGGGTGTTTTAGGGGATGGAGAGTCTCAGCTTTACTCCCGTGACTGGAGATACCAAAAGATGGCTGGTTACAGGACACAGCAGCTAGCCATGGGAAGATCCAGCAGAGCCTATGGCCCAAGGCAAAAATGGCCTCTGGATGATGCAAGGGATCTCAGGAGTTTGATTTACA